ATTTCTGCTTAATGATAAACTGTGGTGTCATTAAATAAAACCTTAGGCCAAAATAGGAAACCAGTGTGTAAAAGAGCACAAACTGTATCTGAGTGTTTTGTTTTAATGCATTTGTTTCCTTTTTACTCTACAGGTGTCTCTCCAGTCTGTGTTCAGCCCAGACTCAGCGATGGTGTGCCGTCTGGAGAACACCAGGAAGGCCTCTCTAGTCCAACCAGCATTCACTTTGACTTCAGCCCCTCCAATCTGGACCACCGAGAGGAAGATCAGGATGTCCTTAGGTAGATATATAGAGCTTGTTTTTACCCCTGAAACCTTTCTTAATGGATCAGACAAGCAGTTGCTCATTCTAAGCTGCATTTCAATCCTGTTCACATGCATTTTTGTTATTCTAAGCTTTTAGGAGCAGGATAACTGTTAAGAAAACTTTACAATATTGCCATTTTAAACAGCTCAACAAAACAAGCAGAAGAAAATGAACTTGATTGTATTTCTCTGCATAAACTGTGAAAAACAAACAATGTTTTTTCGTTATTACAGCAAAGTGAGAGCTTTGCCACACCTGCAATGGACGCAGTGCAAAAATCACAGGAGTTGAAAAATCTGAGCTTTTTGCACCTTTAGCCATCTTGACAACCAATCGGGTAATAGATGTGACTGTGATGTAGGCTGAAGACGCACAACACAAACAAAGCTTTTGTCAATTAAAATGGAAGACAGAGGAAATACTTTTGAGAAGGATGAAGTAAGGAATGCTTTTAAGGAGTTTTTAAAAGTTGCTTTAGTTTAGCCCTATAAGGAGTGTTCAATCAGTCATCATTCCCTTAGCTGAGGAGCAGACCTGCAGTAGCCATCACTGGGAGTACTGGCTTTTATTTAGCCTCTTTCGCCTTTGTAATTCATCCCCAAAGTGGGATTGTTTCAGGTCCCAGACTGAGGCTCAGCAGACAGTGGTTTTGATTGAGCCGTAGAACCTAAACTCGCCACACAATAGATTAAATGACTACCAAAAGTGGCATTTTTATTCATTTCTATGCTACATGCTGGTGAAGATTCTCAGTCATCCAGGTCATAGTCATTCTCAAAGAAAGTTAAAAAACAATCCAGTGGACTTTGTTTGAAGTTTGAAGTCGTTTCTCTTCCCATCCAGGAAGCTTTTTCAATTCAAAATGAAAGAACTAGCATTGAGTTCCAGGTTTCCTACAGTAGCCCAACAAAGCCTTGTTTTGGTTTAGAAAACATGCGCTAATTTAAACGGGCGAACGGGTCCACCCCTTTGCAATGGGGGTCGCTGGTTTCTTTTGTTAGCAAGTACTGCCCCATACCTGTCTATGTCTCTGAAAGGGGGGTCGTTAAAGGGAATTTTTGGCCTGGCTGAATTAGCCTGGGTGCCATTCCGAACTTAGTCCCGCCCACAACGTTTGAGGTCGAGAAGTTCGGTC